TCCCTGTCCCAGAGCTGTCACTTTTTCTTGGTGATTTAGCTGAGGTGTCGAAGAGCCTTAGTATTCCTATATTCCAGACATGATCAAGACCTATATATTGGCAGTACTTGGGGAATTTGTGTTATTTCAATAATTGCTTCCAGTAATTAAATGTTTCAGTATATGATTAGGATTAGTTTACCAAAAAACCCCAAGCAGAAAATTCTTAACTTCAAAAAGTTGTTGAAGTACCTGTGGACTGGCCCCATACAACTCATTGAGCCCATGGAGCTGGCTGAGATTGACACCCCTGCTCCAATAGCATTCACTTAGTACCTAAAGTAAGCCCTGCATTTTTCCTTACTTATGATCCCTGTTTTGTTTTCTTTTTAGCTAAAAAGGCTTACATAACTGAGTAGATCGTGCCAAGAAAATGTTTGGGATTTTGTTGTAGGGCAAGAGCTGGGAAAAACTAAACTAACTCTTACAGATAACTCGTCTTTGGGGAAAACCAATGGAAGTCTTTATTTTATGCTCTAGGACCATTTTGTTTGTTGCTTGTTCAATTGTGTACATGTAAACTGATGCTATAAAATTTGAACTGCTTTTGAATCTTCTAGAATGCCTTTCCCATTTCTTTGCCTGAGTGTCTGTGTGTATTTTATCAGGTCTTTCAGTCCCAGCTGTTCCTGGAGCACTTGGTCCTCTTGCAATCACCACCTCAGCAGTGACTGGACGAATGGCTATTCCTGGAGTTGCAGGAGTTCCAGGAAATTCTGTTTTGCTTGTCAGCAACCTAAATCCTGATGTAAGCTTAATGTGTTGAATCACTGCAAGTATTTAATAGTTTGGCATTATAGTAAAACACATTCAAATGTTTCTTTTTCCAAAATCTGGACTGGAAAGTAGAGAAAGGGATAATAGAGTAAGATCTAATGTTGATCATATTGGAAATAGCATAACTTCCATATGATTTGCTTTAAGGAACTTTCCATTCCTCCCATTGTCAATACTGCAAAGCAGTATTGGAGAACCTTAGAGCCTGAACATTCTCAAAAACAAATATGACATAATGACATAAAATTTCTTCATTGAGCCTTAGTATTGTGATAAAAAATTATTTTGTCTGTTCATAGGGTAACGTTTATTATAAATATGTGAAACAGGTGTTTGTTTTATACCTAGTGAGATTTACTTACTTCCACTATAGCTTTTCAGTACTATATTAACTAAAATAAAAGCACCTTTTTCATATTGCTGGGATTTAAAAGTTTAAATTCTTATTTTTCATACATGCCTTCCAGTTAATTGAAGTAATATGTAGAGTGCTTCCAGTATAACCAAGCAAGGAACAAAGAAGTCTTCATTGTCTTCATAATCTCTAGCTACTGACTTTGGTGTCTGACCTGGAATAAAACTATGAAGTATAAGGCACTGAAAAGCATAGGAACTGTGAGCTATGTAACAGGAGTTGTGTTGTGCTGATTATAATTGTGGAATGCTGTCTGTCCTCTGCTGTTGATTGCCCAAAATGATGACCCTCTTTATTCCTAAGCAGGAATATACTTTTGAAAGTATGTGCATTTTGACAGAGACCAAATATTTTAGGGACTTTCTTGTTTCATTTAATATCCATCACAAAATCTAAGAAGATAATTCAAAATGTTAAGTGTGCACGATAGTTTAAGATAACAAAATGATACCAAACTTTTGAAAAGCTAATGTAAAATAGAGAAAGTGAACATTTTCTTCTTGGACAGCGTATCTTCTGGTGACTGACATAAGGGGATTGTTTCTGCTTTCACATAAGCCTTTTGGACTAGATTCTTCCCATGGCTGCAGGCTTACAAATCCAGTTGACTTCAGTTGAATTAAACACCGCTTCTTCCATGTAGCACCTAGCTGTGGAGTTGGGCATGCAGCAGGAGCTCCAGCAGAAGCAGTAACTCCTGGGTATCGCACACGGGAAGCATATCTTTCCCTCCTCCACAAAACATGTACTTTTCTTTGTTCGTACATAGCAAGTCAATGTAGGTAAACTTTGACCTTGTTTCAAGATGTATTTAAGGACAGTGGTTTATTCTTATAGAGCCGTCTATACTGCTGTGTTTCTTTAAAACTGCCGTGTTCTCTGTGATTTAACATTTTTATTAATAGTTATTTTCCCCATGAAGACTTATGATTAGAGATGCCGATGCTCTATTTGGACTCTAGTGTATTGTATGTACAATTTAATATATGTAAATGGTAATCCTGTGAGAGTAACAAGTATTGTGACTTCGAGAGAATATGGAAGATATGGCAATAGTATTTCTTATCGCAACTGTGGAAAGTGTTTTCTCACCTTTTGGAACCATGGTGGTCCCTGAGAATCTGAGAGCTGTCAGGATTCCAAAACTGCAACCAGGCTTCACTTCTTTAATAAAATACACTTTAATCCAAAAGACTGAGATGATTACAATTGTTTCTCTTGGATCCAGGCCTTGCTATGGTCACTCAAGTCTTTGAAATATGGCTGTCACTACTAAGGGCTGTTCTAGAAGAGTATATAGCAATCTCTGCTAATGAGGGATGAGACAGGTTAACCAATTGATACACCCAGTGATAACTGATTAGCTTACCAGATATTGTTTAGCGCAGGGCTGGGCACCATCTGGTAGGGAAGGCAGGGAAGGGAAGCCATGCAGTGCCGCAGCACGAATTGGAAGGCAGCAGGGCAAGCAAGAGCGGAGGGGAGGGGGACTAGTACCCATAACCTAAGCAGTTATCTGCTCCTTCACAGGCACGCCCTCCCTCCCTCCCTCCCAGTGCAGGACTTCATGTGGGCTGTGATGTCTGACTGGGTTTGCCACTACTTCCTTCTCTGCAGCGCACCTCCCCACCCCCCAGCCTCCAGCAGCAGCTGTGTCCAAGCTTCTGTGTTATCAGTTAATTGCTTAACTGATGGAATTAGAGAAGGTTAAATGTAAATTTTTCCTTCCCTGCTGCTAATGTGAAATATAGCTGTCCAATCAGCTGCTGAGTGGTGATAACTGCAAGGAGAATATTTCAAAACTTCCCAAGGAATTCAGTCCCTGTTTGTTTCCAGGTGTTGACTTCAGACTGTTAATGCTTTACATCTCAGTCATCCTGGCTGAGATACTGCCCCTTCAGCCTTCCTTTTTGTATTGGTCCAATATTTGACCTTGTATTTAGTTTCTATCAAATTTCTCACTGGGTTGGTACCCCTAGATATGCCACTTATATTTTTACAACCTACTCATTCCATTGCAGAATTCCAAGCATGAGAAATGGATGAAGTGCAACTTCAAGTGTTAATTAGGTGCACTAAGTAGATCTTAAAAAAAAGGGGGGGGGGAAAAACCTCTTATTTCTTGAAATGTTTAATAGATTTGGTGTAATTCTTTGTTTGCAGCTAAACTAATTTTCTGTCTTAATGTCATAGAAGAGAGTTTCCTTCTCACAAAATGAATTCAAACAGATTTCATGTTAAAGTTTGAATATTGTTTTATACCAAGCCACTCCATCTACAAATGATATACTTTTTCTGCACCGATTCCTAGCTGCTTGTACAGAAATGTCTAATATGAGCAGTTTAACTCACCCTTATCAAAAGAACAAGCAAATTTACCACCCCTACCACTGTGTTTCCTGTGTGTAAGCTGTGCACTCCCCGTTTACTATGAGGCCTGAGTAAGTAAACAATGCTGGCCTTTGGGGCAGGGGGCAGCAGACCATTTCCTCTGAATAGGATTGTGTGAAATACTGCTAAAATGCTGTCTGCCTCTGCTGGTGCTGGGAAAGGAATTGGCACATCTCTTATTGTAGAAAAAAATTCATGTGACCACCTAAGACACTAATTATAGTTCTTATATTTAGATGTGCAGTGGTTGCTGGTAGAGCTCTGTGGCAAGTCTTCAACACTATCATGTGGCAGAATGTCTTTGTTCATAGAGGATCTAACGTATGGTTCATTTCTAGTATTTAAGGAGTTTGTTAGGGATTTAGTTAAAAATCAGAAGTTTTTCTTTCTAAAACTAAAAAAATGTTTATTTTCCCTTCAATTTCTGCACACCTTTCCTATAGAATTTTTATAGTTGCATGAGTTTTTTAAAAGGGAAGTTTTAAATAGAGGTAGAGATAGAAAATGATTAAGATAAAGAGCAGATATGTAACCCAAATGACTATTTTTAATTTTACATATGTTCTCTGCTGTTTGGGAAAATATGTTCAAAAGTAATTCCTTCTGTACTTTGTGTTCCTGTAAGTTCTTATTTAACAAACTAGCACACTTGTGCAAAGCACTTGCACTATTAAATAAAATATTTGCTTGTGCCTGATAAGATCCTAATTTGAAAATAAGGATCAGTCCATGCAAATTATCTTCGTTTAGTAGCTATTTATTTTAAGTTTAGAAGTAATGGGCAGGTTCTCACTACTGAAAAATATTGTTGAAAATTCAGTATCTAGGATTATAAACCATTAGAGATTTTTAAATAATTTCAACAGTGCTCTTTGTGTTCTTAGCAAATGCATAACAAGAAATGTACTATATCGTATCCATTCGTGACAACAGTTGAGGCTGTTGAGTGGAAAATAACTTCTTAACTTTTTGCAATAATTGTAATCAAAGTAATAGACGATAATGGTTCATAGATTACTTTCAAACATTTACATGGTCTTGAATATAATTCTCCTACCTTGTCATTTTCATAGGCTGTCACACCACATGGGCTCTTTATCCTATTCGGTAAGTTCTTTATTATGTCTGGTATTATTCTTTATTATGTCTGGTATTACAGAACATTATTTAAAACATACTGTGAGAAATTACAGGGCTAATATTGCTTATTTACCTTAAATGGCTTTGAATAATCTTGATTTTTAAAAGTTTTATTTCTTTATCCAGGAAAATATAGTTGTCAGCTTGATTCCTCTGGAGTTGCTTACATGCATGGTGATCTTGCAGGTTTTCCAATAGGAATTCCAAGGGTGCATGCTGGACTGCAGATGATAATACCTTGAATCAGTAGTAACAGGGCATCAAGACAGAATGTTTAAAAGCAGGAAAGAAAAAATGGTGTAATGACCTTAGCGAGACAGTCTGGATATTTGTTGATTTGTTAGCATTTCAAAATACAGTAAAAGCTCTGTTATCCAGCATCCCCCGGGAATGAGGGATGCCAGTTAATCACATATTCCAGTTAATCAAATGTGCACCTTCTGGTCCACTCCCCAGCATCAGTGTGCCGGGGGACAGGTAGGGAGGGATCTGTGTAGGCTGCTTTGCCCTGGGCTATGGGCCAAAGAAGTGGCAAGAACTCTGCTCATGGCAGCAGCGAAACCCAGAAGTGGTGCTTCCGGTTTTGCTTTTGCTGCATCCCTCAGATGCCAGTTAATAGAGTTTTCCAGCTGATAAAGTGCCGGTTAACACAGCTTTTGCTGTATGTCCCATTTTATGATGACCTCCCACTTCTTTATGCCATTAGCATTACATGAATCTCCTCGTAGTAAGGACTTGTTTCTTGCAGTGTCTTTGCATATGGCAGTTAAAAATAACCATTCAGCTTTGAAAGAGGTGCCATGATTCACAGTTCTCAGCTGCTTCCGGAAAAAACAGAAACATTGTAAAAAAAACAGTTTTCAGCTCTAAGCTCAGATGCCCAGATGCTTAATAGGTTGATTGGGGGGTGTAGTTTGTAGTCATGTTGGTCTAAGGACATAGGCAGACAAGGTTCCTTGGGTGAATCTGATATCTTTTATTAGACCAACCCAAATGGTTGGAAAATAGTTATTAAGCAAGCTTTCGGGTTCAAAAACCCTTCGTCAGGCTAAGGAAGTTTCAGCAGTTGGTGTGTGCTCTTCCTGGATGGAATATAATTTGTATCTGTTGATGAACTTTTGTCATACTTGGCTCTTCAGTGTACTGTGCCATATAAAATGCTACAGACAAGTCCAGGGCCTTTTTAAATAATCCTTTTCTTGATTTCCATAGGTGTTTATGGTGATGTACATCGTGTGAAGATAATGTTTAACAAAAAAGAAAATGCCTTGGTACAGATGGCAGATGCAACCCAAGCTCAACTAGGTATTAATTAGTAGAATTTATTTCATTATTGGCATGTTTTATTTCTACTTGAAACTTCCCTTACAATACCTAGTCTTGTTGACATGATCCCCAGTTTACTGTTCAGAATTACTATTCAGTTACTACCTTTGATGTATTGAATGGTCACAGCTTTTATCTAATTAAATATTCTATTATGTCAGAAGTGTGAATCAACTTTTAAACAATCAAGCTAAAGCAGAAGTAAAAACAAGTGGCAGACCGCAGCAGAATTCAGACTCTTGATGAAACACATTTGTCCCCAGCAGATCAAAAATGTGCATTAAACTCATCTGCTTGTTAAGAATTCTGTTAGAGTAATGG